ATTCAATTCCTGTCACACTAGACATATTTTACATGATTAATAGTGATAGTAGGTACCATATTAAACAGATGTATTCTCATCACTGCAGAATACTAGGTATGTCCAATACTATTGGACAGTATTGTTCTAGACACTTGGATTTTAAAAGCTAAAAGGGGAACTCAGAATTAATTTGTTTCGACCTCACCTTTCAAAGATAAATACTGTATACTGAAGATGTTAAACTGGCCAATGTCTTACAGCTCATGATAACTTTGGGCTCTGTAATTAAGTCTTCCACATCAAGTGGCTCTTTTTCCATAGTAGACATTAGCAAGAGTATCAAGACTATCTTTTCCCATATCTGTGTGCCTACTAGACAGTTCTACTCTCTAGTTTATCCAGATGTCATCCTCTGCTTTCCCTAACTCCTACAACTTATGTCTCATACCACTGACAGATGAGACTCAACCCAACAGAAAGTAGACTTACATCATTAGAGAGCTTCTGATAGCTACACCAAAACTTGCCTTTGAACAATAGGTTTAGTCACTAGAAATACAAAGTCACGGACTTCCAACTTTCCACCAGAAAAATTATATTGAAGTTATCAAATGCTTTGCTTTTGTATAAAATAATCTTAACAGCAAGAAAGAACAGACTAGAACTTCTTGGATTTGCAGTTAAAGTTTACTCAATTTTACATTTTGGAGCCAGTGGCTACAAGTTATGTATAAATCAGTCCCTAGAGTAAAAAAAAAACCTGGCAAATTCAAACCCTTAAGTTTATTCTCTTCACGATATATGATGATAACAAGAAAAAAAAATCTGAGGCAAATTGAGACAAAGTTTTTTAAAAATCTGACACAATCTCTGATTCACTAAATGAATAACTGAGAAGACTTAGATACCAAAATCTTATTTTATAATTTACCTTTAAGCCTGAAGAAAACTCTACCATTTCTTCTGCCTGAACATTCCTCAGCCCATGTACGCGGGCAATACCATCACCAATACTTAAGACACGCCCAGTTTCTTCAAGGTCAACAGAGGTATCAGCTCCAAGAATACGCTCTTCAAGAATAGAGGACATCTCAGCAGTCCCTATGGAAGACAATTCAATTCAATTACAAAAATTATCTGGGCCAGGCGCGGTGGCTCACACCTGAAATCCCAGCACTTTGGGAGGCCGAAGCGGGCGGATCACCTGGTCAATCTCAAAAAAACAAAAATAAAAAATAAAAACCAACTGTGTGTCTTTAACACTTTAACAAAGTGTGTCTTTCTCTTTCAAGGCACACAGGGTAGTATAGGTGGTATTCTTCATCTTAGCATATAGGGGTCAGGTGCAGTTGCTCACGCCAGTAATACCAGCGCTTTGGGAGGCAGGCGGACCACTTGAGGCCAAGAGTTCGAGACCAGCCTGGCCAACATACCAAAATCCCATCTCTACTTAAAAAAAAAAAAAAAAAATTAGCCAGCTGTGGTGCTGCATGCTTGTAATACCAGCTACTCGCGAGGCTGAGGCAGGAGAGAATCACTTGAACTCAGGAGGCGGTGGTTCCAGTGAACCAAGACTATGCCACTGCACTCCAGTCTGGGTAACAGAGCAAAACTCTGTCTCAAAACAAAACAAAACAAACAAACAAAAATATCCCAGCACTTTGGGAGGCCAAGGTGGACAGATCACCTGAGGTCAGGGCTTTGAGAACAGCCAGGCCAACATGGTGAAACTCTCTACTAAAAATACAAAAATTAGCCGCGTGTGCTAGTGCGTGCCTGTAATCCCCGCCACTAGGGAGGCTGAAGCAGGAGAATCACTTGAACCAGGGAGGTGGAGGTTGCAGTGAGCCAAGATCCCACAACTGCACTCCAGCCTGGGCAACAGAGTCTCAAAAAAAAAAAAAGGCCAGGCACGGTGCCTCACACCTGTAATCACACCACTTTGGAAGGCCAAGGCAGGCGGGTCACCTGAAGTCAGGAGTTCGAAACCAGCCTGGCCAACATGGTGAAACTCCGTCTCTACCAAAAATACAAAAATTAGCGGAGTGTGGTGGCGGGCACCTATAATCCCAGCTACTCAGGAGGCTGAGGCAGGAGAATCACTCC